CATCTGGCGGATAGCGCGGAGTGGACTGCAGACCCAGAATCCTGCACCTGTTTGCGAAATGCCTGGAGGTTACTATTCCATACACACGGGGTTGTGATTACATGCATACAAATTAAAATCTACCTGAGCCTGGGGAGGTAGCTCTAAGGTCTAAGCGCCTGTCTAGCAAGTGCAAGGACCTGAGTTCAATCCCAGTTCCACATGCCATGCTGGCCTCTGGTTCCCAGGTGCACTTACAGGCCCTGAATGCGGGTGTGGTGGCGCACACCTGTAATCCCAGCACTGGGGAGGCTGAGACAGGAGGATGACCAAGAGTCAGAACTATGTAGTGAGACCCTGTATCAAATAAGTTTTTTTTTTAAAGGGAAAAATTCTACCTCGCTCTAATACTTTACTAAAAGTGACGTTAATTATTTTTTCTCCACTTGATATTCTCGTGGGACATACCCTTAAGAAAATATGCTCCAAAGATATCTTTTTAAATATGGATTCAGAATATCACGGCAGCAGATTGGCTCATGTGTATAGCAGATTTTAGATAGCAACATATGCTAACAGTTAGAGGTAGACTCTCAGGATACCAAGGCAAATGTTATTGCTGGCCACGTGGGCTTAAAAGTTCCTGAGGAAAGTTACCTGGACTTGCCAGCACACAAAACCTGCAGATCAGCACCCTGTTCCGTACAGTGAGCCTTCGCAGCATCCGCTGAAGAGCGGTTCCTGCACAGGAACAGTACAAGATGAAGAGACGTTACACTATCTTGTCTGGGAACATAGCAAGAAAATCTGTCCGTGTTCAGTTCAGATGTACATTCTTTGAATATTTTCCACGTATGGTTGATTAAGTCTGCTGGCACAAATCCTGCAAATGCAGGGCAATGGTGAAGGAAACAAGTGCATTTTGGTTTATATTAGCAATGTCAAATACGGTCCATTCTTCCATTTGCCTCTGTGTTACTATGTAATTCCCTCACGAAAGTTTATTACAATACCTCAGATCATGCTTTGTTATCTGTATCCTTATTGAAACAGTCTTCTCTGTTTTAGAAAAGGGTATCTTCACTGCTGTGTCAAAGCATGATCTTGCAACTCTTTTTTGGGGGGCGGGGGGCAGCTCAGGCTGCCCTGTAGGAAGGGCTGGCTCAGCTTATGGTGCTGGGGATTGAACCACGGTCCCTGCGCTTTGCCTCACCTTGCCTAAGCAGGCACTCTATACCACTACGCTACCTCAACGGCCCTTTGAAGTTCTTATATAATTTATGTAACTTAAAGTATATGTTTAGTGCCATTACATTCTTTTACATTCTGTGCAGTTTTTAAAACATTTTTTTGTTTCTTTACACATTACACTTTTATTTTATGAAGCATAAAGCATAAAAATAAGAATTTGCTAAATAAGTATTTTTAACTTGACTAGATTAAAAGTTATATGTAGAATAACAAAATTTGGGAAATTTTAACTTTTGCTTCTTGCTGGAAACCAGTGAGTTAGCTTTGATATTATTGTGTAACACTGCGCCAAAACAATCATATTTATCAAAACATTGAAGAAAGTTTCTTGTGTTTTAACAGGGTTAAAGGATTCTGTTATGGTTTGTGTCTAGCTTTCCCCCAAAATCCTCACAAAGTCATGGGGTGGGTTTCTAGAGTCTGTGAGCAATTTATGATCCTCTGCTGGGATTATGGGTGTCAGTGCTGCTGGGATTATGGGTGT